CCACTGGGTTGCTGAGGTTGGAAATTTGCACAAGATTCCCATCTTTCTCCCTCAGAGAGCGGTGCATTGGAGCTGCCAGAGTGCCAACGCTACACCACCAGCACTCCCTACCACCTGTTTACAGCTGCTTTGTTGAGCAATAGTGTCTTTTAGGAGCTCTGGTGGCATCATGGGTTAAGCATTGAACTGCATTGAACAAAGTTGACAGTATGGAGCCACCAGTACTCCATGGGAGCAAGATGGCAGCCTGCTTCCATAAAGATTTGCCATCTCAGAAACCCTAAGGGGGTGTTTCTTCTCTGCCCTGTGGGGTCACTGTTAGACAGAATCGAATGAACAGCAATGGACATAGTTTTTTAGTTTTGATGTCCATTACCGCCCAGAAGCTCATGATCATTCTAAAGGATAGTAGTGCTCAGTGGTAGGTCCCAGTCTTTGTGGCAGGAACTTTCAGGAAGGATGACTTCTAACAGAAGTTTGTGGTTTCAGTCATAGTAGATGTTCTGTTTATTCTAGTGGCTTTTGGGTCCCTTAACCACTGGAAAATGCCTTTCTCCACACCATCTAATCCCAGTGGAATTCTTACTGAGACTTTCAGTAGCCATGGTTGTTGCTTAGATGTGTTTCTACAAACACTGAGGTGAATGCAGATATTTTGAAGCAAATAAAGTTCAGGGATGTACCATGTTCCTAAAAGTATTTCCCAAGAGAGCAGTTCCACAATCCATACTCTTTTAACACCAGCAGTCAGGAAATCAAAAGACTAATTACATTAGGAAAATCTTCTGTCGGGGGCCTCTCTAGAGTACTAAAAAGCAGCAGTGTCAATCTAGAGACTAAGGTACACCTAATCCAGGCCATGGTCTTCATAATTATTTGTTATGCTTCCGAGAGTTGAATAATGACTGAGGATGACAGAAGGAGAATCGATGCCTTTGACTTGGGGTGTTGGAGGAAAGGAGTCTTGAACATAATATGGACCATCAAGAAAACAAATAGATCTGTCTTGGAGAGATAAAACAAAATTTCACCGTGGAGGCTAGGATTTTGAAACTCTCACCTGTTTTAGACACGTGGCCATGAGGGACCAATTCTTTGAAAAGGACATCATATTCTGAAGGGTGAAGGGACAGCACAGGAGAGAAAGACCCCAGATAAAATGGATTATACAGTGACTGGGTGAATGGGGGTTGGTGTGTCAGAATCAGTGAGACTGGCTCAGGACAGGACAGGCTTCAGAGCTGCTGTACATAAGGTCGCTATGGGTCACAGGTGACTCAATAGCACATAAAAACTTTAAGTTTTTATAAAGGGGAATGAAATTTGTTTGTTTGTTTGTTTTCATTTGAGTTTATTTAGGCATTTGAGTGAAATTGGGTCTTTGTGGTGAATAAAGGACTGTTAAAATAAAAAACAATAGGCAAGGGGAATGAAATTTTTACAAAAGAGTTTAAGGGAGCTCTTGTGGCCTAGTGACAAGACACTGCACTGCATTCCCTGAGGTACACGGTTCAAATCCACCAGATGCTCTGCTGAAGAAGGAGGGGGCAATCTCCTCCTGTACCAGTCAGATCTGATTTGACGGTACACTTAAAAATAATACAATAAAAATAAAAAAATATAAAAAAGAGTTTAAAATGAGATATGGATGAGACAACACTAGCAAATTTATGAAAAGTTGTAAATGTCAGAAAGCATTCTGCACTTATATTATTATGCATACATTGTTATAAGTTAAACTGGAAAGCATAATGGATATGTCTATGGATGTTTCTGCAATTCAATCAGCAGAACTTATTTGCAAAAAATCTTCAGCCTTCCTTCAAGAGGGTTTGAAATTAATGTGCACTGAGATGTTTTAAGTTAAAATACAATATTTAAGATGCTCTGCATTGGTGAATTTTTTAATAACCAACCACTTACTCTTATGACATTAAATAATGTCATCGATTTATTCACTCATCTACTTACTTGCTATTGAAGTTCTTTAACATTGCTTTTGTATTGTCGCTATACATAATGGCATTATACTTCATTATTTTGCATTTTGTCTTTGAGAGTCCCAAAGCATTTGGTAAGCAGTGTGTTAATTTGGGCACAAGGAGATCTGTGGGTGTCCGAGACGGTCTCTTATATGTGCCACGAAAGAGTGAGGCTCCCTCAGAAAGGCCAAAAAACATGTCACAGCAAGGAAACTGTGCATGCAGGGCTGTACAGGGAGTTGTCCTTGGGAAAACGGTAACAACAAGCTGGGACTGTAAAATACTTATGTAGGGCAAGTAGAAAGAGATCCCAGTGCCCACCGAAGTTTTATTGATAAATAAAACAAGCAAAGTTTCTAGCGTATCAGTGTGGGAAAAGGGGGAAACTTCTTCTCATGGGAAACCATATCAGGCATGGTTGGGAGGGGCAAGGAGGAACCAGAGTTGTTGAGAAACTCTGTAACAGAATAGGAATAGCCATGTGAGAAGCTGGGCGAAAGAGAAATATGGCAAGTTACTGGATTCCAAGGCTGAAAAGCCTGCAGGCTGAGGTTTAGAATTGGCAGTATGACAAGTAGGGATCATAGAAAAGAACAGCTGGCAATGTCATCCTGTCACCCTATCCAAAACTCTTTACTGATCTCTATTTACCCTAGCCTTGACTGATCTCTCTTTACCCTAGGCTTAATATTATTTGACCCCTTTTTACCTTCCAGTATAATCTGTCACTCTTCGTTTATATTCTAGAAACAAGGGAGGATTTCCAGTGCTGGCATTGTTTTATCCCTAAGTTTTTACCCACGCTGTATACTTAGTTGTATCCCTACCCTTACTCAGATGCACCTGTCACTCGACTAGCTCCTACTTCTTTCTTCAAATCTCAGGTCGAACTTTTACTGTCATAAAAGTCTTCCTGACCGCTGGACTAGGTTTTTGAAGTTTATCATAGATATCATTAATCTAAAAGACAATTTTTTGAGGAATAGTTCACATAAAATTAATCCATGTAAAGTGTACAATTCAAGAGAATATTGTCATCTATCACACCCCCTTTAGCTCTCACCTCAGTATGTCCCAAGTCCCCCAACCCCAAGCAACCAGTCACCTGCCTTCTGTTTATAGATTTGCCTCCCCTAGACATTTTATACAAATGGAATCATGTATTCTGTAGCCCCTTGTGACTGACTTCTTTCACTTACCATGGTGTCTTTAAAGATTTATCCATGTTGTAGCATGTTTTGGTACTTCACGACATGCCATATATGGTGACAATAACATTCCATTACATGGATTCCATTCCATTGGGAAGCCTTTGGAGGGCGTTCAGCATGAATGCTGTGTGATCTGATTTATAATTTTGAAAGAATGTCTGGCTTCTGGGTGGTGATTATAGACCAGTTAGGAGGCTATTGTTTCAGTCCAGATGAAATGTGATGGGGTTGGATTACATCTCTGAGGTCTCCCAGAGTCTGTGATTCTTTGTTGTTTATCTACATTTGGGTTTATTTTGCCTGCTTTTTGCAAGTTTGCCCCAATATTTGGGTCTGAAGCTTTCAGTGTTTGTTGAAGATCCATTGGGGAAACCATATTACCATGGTTTTTGGAGTTTTTTTTTTAAGTGAATATTGCCCTTATTTCTCTTAGCTACAAAGAAATGTTGAATAAGGATCATTATCTCTAGTATGTCTCATTCGGAAAATAAGATAAGAGACATTTATAAGTATTTAGGGCAAGGAATATTTTTTATGTTACTGTGGTCTTATCCAAATATGTCCAGTTTTTAGTCTAATGGTAGCATTTTTTAGTGTCTATAGCTACATAATAGATATATCTGTTATATATGAGCTGTTTGTGCTGAAAGAATTCAGCACACACCTCCAATTTATGACCTTTGAAATGTATAATTTATCATTTAACTCTTAAAACCACTTAGCTGATATCTACAGAATCCTTTTACAAAGGCCACCCAGTTGCTTTCTTAGCAGTTTACATTGTTCCTCCTTAATTTTCTGTAGCATTCAAATGCAGTAGACCAAGCTGTTACACAAAGTTTACAACGATGAGACAGACTCAGAGAAGTATAATCTTTGCCAAGTTCCCTATTTCTTTACCTTGCTGTAATTTTCTTGATAGCACTTAGGTATAATTTTATCTATTTCTCCATAGTTTGTCAGCTCCACTAGAATGTATACTATGTGTGTGTGTGCACACACACACACACATATTCCATGAAGGCAAGTATTGTATAAGTTTTCTGTTACTGTATAACATTTTACCGTGGAACTCATTGTCATGAAATAAACATTATCTCAGTGTTTCAGTGGATGAGGAATTCAGAAGCGGCTTATCTGGGTGGGTCTGGCTGGGGTTCTCTTATGAAGTTACAGTCCAAGGGTCCACCAGGGCTGTTGTCACTTGAAGGCTTGACTGGGGCCCGGAGAATACTTCTAGCTCGCTTCTGTGGCTGTGAGCAGAAGGTCTCAGTTCCTCATTGGTACTTGCTGGAGACCTCAGTTCACCAGGAGGGCCTCTCCTCATGACATGATATCTGACTTCCCCCATACTGAGTGATCTAAAAGATGATTCACATTGGAAATAGCATTTGCTCTCTACTGCTATATAACCTCCTGGCCACACAGGCCAAGCCTGATATATTGTGGGAGCAACAAATACAGGGCATTAGGGATCATTGAGGGGCATCTTGGAAGCTGGCTACTATGGACAATTTTCTCTGTCTTATTCACTGGTATCTTCATGACATTAAGCAGGCTACCTTGCATATAGCAGGTGCTCAGTAAATATATGTTGAATGGGTGGGTAGATTTAGACTACATATTAATGAAAAACATCTTTAAAAAGAATAAAGACCATTCATGGATGTAGAAAATTACCAGGCTAGGAACTAGAAGTAGTAGTGGTCAGCATAAAAGATGATTACTAAAATAAAAGTGATCTTCAGATGTAAAGAGAAAGGAGAACTCACTCTGTTTTGTTGTTGTTGCTGTTTCTTTTCCCCAGATGTGGAAGCATGAAGGCTTTTTTGCGCTCTATAAAGGATTTTGGCCAAACTGGCTTCGACTTGGACCTTGGAACATCATTGTATCCTTTGAGAACATAATGAAACACAGAATCTTTTGCCCTCTAGGTTAAGAGATAGTGGACTTCTTCCCCCTTGGAACTGCTCTAATGATCCAGCACTGAATTATGTCACTGCTGTTCTGTGTTAATTTTGTGTGTTTGCCCCTAAGACTCTAAATTTATTAGCATTAAATCTATTGATTTCACTTCACTAAATGCCAATGATCATAATGGGCACATGGTGAGTACTCGATGCATGATTGATTGCACAGATAGCGTCTGTTGAAGAGATTGTGATGTACGATTTTAGAACGAATTGTGACTTTTGCTGTCAATCAAGTAATCTTCCATGACTTACTCCTCAGTTTTTTATTACATATGAGCAACTCAAGAGGCTTCAGATCTAAGGACTGAAATATATGTGCGGAGCCCAGCCCTGCCAGTCTTTCTACTCTTCTCCCCCCCCACTGTGTTCTAATGTATTTTGAAAATGTTTTAAGTGTTTTATGAACCTGTGGTCCCCCAAGGGCTTTCTGATTGAAGGGAAAAAAGTCAATGGTTTGAATTGTTTGTGTGTCTGTGTTACCATGTTAACTTTTCCCTGAGAGGGAGTGTTAACGTTGAGACTCTGGCCCCAGATTGGTATCTTCTGTGAAGATGGATACTGATGGATAACTTTCCAGATGGTCAGCTTTCTGATGTGGGTTAAATGGTAGCCCCAGATGTGGGCTAGAGCAGAAGGCATAGGCCAGAGCAGTTACAGTTGTGGATGTCAGACCTTGGTTCTCATTAAAGTATTTATTGGCAAAATTACTTTGGCTTTGTCTTCATTTAATGATTGCTCTTTGGCTGGCTCTTTCAGGCAGAGTCTCTAGAAAGTGATAAAGAGATGATGACTATGAACTTGAGAACTAGACACTAGACTGTTAGGGACTTCATACCTGGACTGTTAAAGTGTATACTTATAGGAATAGAGTAAGTGCTCTACTGCCGCCATTCATTGTTAGACTTCTACTCACTCTCAAACATTAGATAAGTGGTTCTTCCTTGAACAGGAATAAGCAGATGACTCATTTGGAAATGTGTACAAGTAAACTGCTGGGAAGTTTAAATTAGACCCCAAACCTCTGATTCTAATTGTCTTATAGGTAACAAGTTCTGGCTTCTTTCTTGTACTAGAATAGTAGACACAAAAATATTAGTTGAATGAATCGTTTTGTTCTTCATCTTATCCATTTGCTAATTTATTTAAGAAGCATGTGTTGTGTGTAATTTACACCGAGAGGATATTCTGGTGAGGAAGTCTGTAGGGAGTTGCACTGCTAACCCAAAGGCTTTCTGACAGCTGAAATCCACCAGTGGTTTCTTGGCAGAAAGATGGACAGTCTCCTCCTTTGCAATTTACAGACTCCCTGACGACTCACTGGAGGGTCAGGTATGAGTCCATTCAGACTGGACAGCGAAGCACTAAGTATATAAAAATAAGTAATTTCTTTTCAAACTTATATTATAGTGGGAGAAACAGATATGTATAGAAATAGGCATAGGTGGTACTATGTGATGGATGAGAGATCACCCAAGTGCTGTAGAAGCCAGAACTTTTACCACTTCACGGTGGTTCAGTCATGGTCCACACTTTGTAAAATCAAAAAAGTTGAGTCAGACTCCACTTTGTAAAATGAAGCAGACCAAGAACCTTTGGAATGGAGAAAATTAGTCTAAATCCCGGAATGGGAGACTCAAAAGAGGCATACCTGAGCCTTTTCAGGAGCCTGATGGGAAAGATTGGATGATTATTACGGCAGTGGAGCAGGACATCCATTGACGGCAGTGTGATCTGCTACCCTCATTGAGCCAAGCACGGCTGTTCCACACGCTGCTGGTTAAGCGATTTAGTTGCTATGAAGCATGGCTACTGACATCATTTTCTAAGAAAGAGGTTACATTTCTATCAATGTACTTTTTCTAGCTCCAGTTATTGTTCCAGTTCACCCACATTTTACAAATTTAGGTCTGGCATCTGTGACTGAAACTAGAAGTCCTGATAGACGCACAGAGGAGGAAACAGCCAATTACCTCAAGATGTGGTAGCTTAGGTAGCATTTGAACTGAGTCTAAGGAAGAATGCTGCCGTTGGATATCATCAAGTCGGCACTTGACCCATAGCTGACGGTCCAGAGGCAGTAAACTGCACGGGAGGAGATTTCCCATCATTCTCCCACAGACCAGCTGATGGATTCAAACCATGTGCCTTTGGAATTGCAGTGCAGATTCTTACCACTTGGTCACCAGCGCTCCCTAAAAGAAGATCATCATTGTGTACCGTTGAGTCAGAACCAACCCATAGCTGTTCCTCCTGTGTGTTTTCAGAGGCAATTAATTGCCCGGGAAGGAGTATATATTTTAGGTAGAGAAAGGCAACTAGGCAGGGCAACTGTGCAAGTAAAAGCTTACAGGTGTGAAAGGGCAAGGTGTTTGGGGGAACGGGCAGAGGGGAGGAGAAAGCTCATCAGGGCTGTAATGATAGAGCAGTCGGTTTCAAACTCTGAGCAGCTTGTACAAATGTAGATTCTCCCATCCCATCTTCTGAGACCTGATCCTGTTTCGGGCAATAGCATTTGGTTTTGTCATAGCACTCAGTGAGAAACACTGGTCAAGGAATGTAGGCTGGAATGAAAGGGGATTAAAGGTCAAATTAGAAAGTATGTCCTAAGAGTTTGAACAGGAGGACAAAGGAAACTTTGAAACCAATTCTATAATGGGCTCATTTTCATAATCCTAGCCTCTAGGGGGAGGGTAATCCTAGCAGCAGTATGGAAGGGCTGTTGCTGTTGTTAGGTGCCATCAAGTCTACTATGACTCCTAGCAAGTCTATGAAGAACAGATCTGAACCTTGGCCTCTCCTGCACCATCCTCCCCCTCTCCAACGTGCTCTGTTCCATTGTTACAGTCACTGTGTCAGTCCATCTTGTTGAAGGTCGTCTTCTCTTTCTCTGACCTTCCATCTTTCCAAGCATAATGTCTTTTCCCAAGGACTGACCCCCTCCTGACAATATGCCCACAGTATTCATGACAAAGCATCACTATCTAAGGAACACCTCTAAGGAGCACTGTAGTTGCCTTTCCTCCAAGAAAGGTTTGTTTGTTCTTTTGGTAGTCCATGGTGGGCTGAGGATTCTTTTCTAACACTACAATTCAAAGCCATTGACTCTTCTCTCATCCTTATTCGTTGTCCAACTTTCAGATGCACAGGAAGCAATTGAAAAGATTGAGGCTTGGATCAGATGAAGCTGCTTACTTTTTAAATTGTGATTTTAATGAAGCTTCACAGAGAGGTTGGGCTTTCTCAAAAAGTTAGAAATAGAAATACCATTTGACCCAGCAATTCCACTACTGGGAATATACCCTGAAGAGACCAAAACTGCCATCCAAACAGAGATAGGCACACCCATGTTTATCACGGCTTCATTCACAATAACAGAGTTGGAAACAACCCAAGTGCCCATCAACAAATGAATGAATAGAGAAGGTGTGGTATATTCACACCATGGAATACTATGAAGGACATTATGCTGAGTGAAATATCTCAGTCACTAAAGGACAAATACTGCATGGTGCCACTGTTGAAATCTACTGTCTTTTATATAGGTTATGTGTTCAGTCAACAAATACTGAGCTTGTATATAGTCACTGTGGATACAGCAAAGTACAAAACAGGCAACAATCACTGCCTTCATTGAGCTTATATTATATAAAAGGGAAATATGACAGAAGATTTATAAGTGAAATATAGAGTATATTAAACGCAAAGCTGAGACTCATTGCTGTTGAGTTGGAACTGACTCATAGCTGACCCTCCAGTGGATTTTCCAAGGCTGTAAATCACACGGGAGTAAATTGCCCATCTTCCCCAAAGCTGCTGTTGGATTTGAACCACCAGAGAGGCATGGCCTTTTGGTTAACAGCAAAACTCTAGTTATAAAACTTTGTAGAAAAATAAATGAAGGGAGCTAGTAAACATCAGGGCATGGTCACAGTCTTAAACAGAACTCACAGAGAGAAAGCAACTTTTATTTTTTGGTTAACTTTAAAAAATTTTTCTAAAAAAATTTTCTATTGGTTTGCATACAAAATTCATAAACATTGTGTTTCATACATTCCTTCATTCATGTTGTTTTCCATACAATCAATCATATGCATTGTATTTTATAAAATAAATCACTGTTCCTCTATGCCTACTATTACCCCATCTTTTCAGGTCTCCATTGTATCTTTCCTAATTCTTTCTACCCCTCCCTCTGCTCACCAGACTCTGTCATCCCAGTGATTTCCTCCACTCCTGCTACTCTACCTCCCTACCCACCACTCCTTCTCCTTGTGGACTTTCATACACATCTTACTAGTTATCCTTCTAATTTTACAGTAATAGTCTTATGCAATATTTGTCTTTATGAGACCGAGTTAGTTCACTCAGCATAATATTATTTTTACTCTCCTGAGAAAGCAACTTTTGATCAAAGTCTCTGGAAGAATGAATTAAATGACATGCAAAGGCCCTGAAATCAGTGTGCCTGAAATCTAGTGAATATCATGATTCAGACAAGACATGATGGTGACTTGGATGAGGGACACCAGTAGTAAAGGGTGTGAGAAGTGGTTCTAGATCTATTTTGGAAAAGGATGTAGGCTGTTAGACAGTTGAAGCAGAGTTAAGGAGCTCTGGTGACCTAGAGGTAAAGAGTTTCACTGTCAGCTCAAAGGCAGGCAGCTATTCCACAAGAGAAACATAGACAGCCTCCTCTCATGTGATTTACCACCTCTGAAAACCCACTAAAGAATCAGCTATGAATTGGTTCTGACTCTACAGTACCTAACAACAGCCACCAAGAATTTTAGTCTGGACCAACTGAAAGGGATTCTGCCACAGAGATGGGGAAGACTATGCAAGGAAGAGAATTTTTAGGAGGAAATTAGGAGTTTTATATAAGTTAGGTTTGAAGGACTTGTTAGACTTCACTAGAGATGTGGAGTGAGCAGCAGAACATAGAGGCATGGTGTTCAGCATCAAGGTATAGGTTGAGGATGCAATTTTGGCCCTCATCAGTGTATCAGCAGCACCAAAAGCCAGGGAACTTAATGAGAGCACCAGGGGAATGGAGGAGCCCAAGGACGGAGCCTGAGGCGTTCCAACATGGAGCACTTGGGGAGAAAAACCCAGAGGACACTACCAGTGACCAAACATTCAGCCTGAAGTAATCAGGGGTGGGGGGAAGCACACAAATTCGTTCTGGTGACGGGGAAAAGTCAAGTAGACTATGAAGGCCAATTATTTTCCATATAGATTTTGATGCTATGATTTTTGATGCTATTTCATTTGAAGCTATGAAATCTGTCCAGATTACAAAAG